ATTACAGGCATGAACCACGGCGCCTGGTCCACATTAATTTTAAAATAATGATTTGGATGGGGCATATGCGTGAATCCCTTTATGCTTAAACGTTAAGAAAACGTTTTACTTTTTAAGGAGCTAACATGGAAGGCTTAGGGGGTAAAAGCTTTATAATGACCTCACCTGACGGTGAATAGGTAGAACAAAGTCCACAGTAATAGAATTTGGGAAAAGAAACAGCCCATACTCTAAGCTGATGAAATCTAAATTCTTTCATGATTCAGCTATGAGATCTTGGAGTGCTTTCTAGACACAAAAGAGCTGATTTTAGTGTCCCTTAAAAGAGGAAGAAGATGAAATAACACATACATAGCACTTTTTTTCTCCCTGGACCAAATATGTTGGGGGAGGAAATGGGGTACATACAAACCCAATCCTGATCTCTAAGGTCCTCTAAAGATGTTTAGATGTGTAATGTGTTTAGATCTGTAATGGGTTAATAAAGAATTGAGGGGGAAATTACAATTTTTGGAGTTTAACCTTATGGATAGCTAAGCTCTCCCACAAAATGTGCCCATTGCCACTAGACAGAAATTTTGATTGTGTGGATTGCTGATCTGATCCAGAATGGCACTCCCTTTGATGTTTTATGATAGTATCATGTGGGAAGAAAAATTTTGCCAACTAAACTATAACACAATAATTTCTTGTAATTTAATGTTTTTCTTTCCTTTTTTTGTTTTTCTCTTTGAGACAGGGTTTCACACTGTCGTCCAAGCTGGAATGCAGTGGTGCGATCGCGGCTCACTGCAGCCTCTACATCCTGGGCTCAGGTGATTCTCCTGCTTCAGCCTCCTGAGTAGCTGGGACTATAGGCATGTGCCACCATGCCCAGCTAATTTTTTGTCTTTTTTGTAGAGGTGAGGTCTTGCTATTTCCCAAGTTGATCTTGAACTCTTGAGATCAAGCGATACTCCCACCTCAGCCTCCCAAAGTGCTGGGACTACAGGTGCGAGCCACTGCACCTCGCCTATTATTATTTCATACTCAGTAAAATACATTTATTATGCATCGATCTTGTGCATGCATAGAAAGGGAATATAAGTAAAATTGGTTTAGGGATTTCAGAAACTAATTCATGTTCAGAACTCAACTTTCATTTAATTTTAATTTTTTTTTTAGATGAAGTCTCACTTTGCCACCCAGGCTGGAGTGCAGTGGTGCGATCTCAGCTCACTGCAACCTCTGTCTCCCGAGTTCAAGTGATTCTCCTGCCTCAGCCTCCTGAGTAGCTGGGATTAGAGACACACGCCACCACACCTGGCTAATTTTTTTTTTTTTTTTTTATTTTTTTTTTTTTAAGTATAGATGGAGTTTTGCCATGTTGGCCAGTCTGGTCTCAAACTCTTGACCTCCGGTGATCCGTGCTGGGATTACAGGCATGAGCCACCACGCCGGGCCCAGAACTCAACTTTTATGAATCGATTTTTTTTTTTTAAAGACGGAGTCTCACTGTGTCGCCCAGGCTGGAGAGCAGTGGCACCATCTCGGCTCACTGCAACCTCTGCCTCTCAGGTTCAAGTGATTCTCCTGCCTGCCTCCGGAGTAGCTGGGACTACCGGTGCCACCACACCTGGCAAATTTTTTGTATTTTTAGAAGAGATGGGGTTTCACCAGGTTAGCCAGGATGGTCTCCATCACCTGATCTCGTGATCTGCCCGCCTTGGCCTCCCCAAGTGCTGGGATTACAGTCATGAGCCACTGCGTCATGAATCGCTTTTGGAACCAGTTGTCCATGGCTGTGGTTTTCCACCAAAGGTGTTAGTGATGCATCTAACCTTAAAAGTGCTCCAGCCAGGTGCAGTGGCTTGTATCTGTAATCTCAGCACTTTGGGAGGTGAAGGCGGGAGGATCCCTTGATGCCAGGAGTTTGAGAGCAGCCTAGGCAACAAAGTGAGAACCTTGTCTCTACGAAAAATAAAAAAATTTAGCCAGGCATGGTGGCACATGCCTGTGGTCCCAGCCACTTGGGGGACTGAGGCAAGAGGATCGCTTGAGCTTGGGAGACTGAGGCTGCAGGGAGCAGTGTTTTGCGCCACTGCACTCCAGCATGTGTGACAGAGGGAGACCCTTTCCTTTCTCAAAAAAAAAAAGAAAAGAAAAACAAGAAAAAAGAAAGAAAGCATGCTGCACTATTTATGCAGGATTTTCTTTTCTTTTTTAAAATTTATTATACTTTAAGTTCTGGGGTACATGTGCAGATCGTGCAGGTTTGTTACATAGGTATACACGTGCCATGGTGGTTTGCTGCACCCCTCGCCCCATCATCTACATTAGGTATTTCTCCTAATGCGATCCCTCCCCAATCCCCCCACCCCCTGCTATTCCTCCCCTAGCTCCTCACCCCCCAGGCCCCAGTGTGTGATGTTCTCTTCCCCGTGTACATGTGTTCTCATTGTTCACCCACTTATGAGTGAGAACAAGCGGTGTTTGGTTCTCTGTTCTTGTGTCAGTTTGCTGAAATGATGGTTTCCAGTTTCATCCATGTCCCTGTGTATGCAGGATTTTCTTCCAGGCCAGCTTACCTTATTTTGCAAATTTTGATGCTGGCGCCTGCTTGATCTCAACTGAATGTATCCATTACGAGTTTTTTTTTTTTTTTCTTTTTTTTCCTTTTTTTTCTTTCTTTCGTTCATTCATTTGTTCTTTTTTTTTTAGATGGAGTCTTGCTCTGCCGCCAGGCTGGAGTGCAGTGGCAACATCTCGGCTCACTGCAACCTCCCCTTCCCAGGTTCAAGCAATTCCCCTGCCTCAGCCTCCTGAGTAGCTGGGACTACAGGCACCTGCCACCACACACAGCTAATTTTTTGTATTTTAGTAGAGACGGGGTTTCACCATGGCCAGGATGGTCTTGATCTCCTGACCTCATGATCTGCCCACCTCGGCCTCCCAAAGTGCTGGGATTACAGGCGTGAGCCACGGTGTCTAGCTGAATTTCGAGTTTTCATGTAAAACATTCAGGACTTGTTTTCCTTCTTCAATGATGTTATTGAATACAATCTATAGGAGTTGTAATTGTCTAACCAGGCTATCAAGAATAATATGCAAGTTATTTCACTTTTTGGGGGTGCAATTATTATTTAACTGTTCAGATATGGGTTCCCAAAATCCATTAAGAATGAATGTGCTTGGTGAGTAACTCATGGCTCCCAGAAGACTACTAATTCTTAGCCAGCACCATCTCTTTGTTTTCCAAGTGCTGGAGAAATCTCTTTTTGGTCCTAGGAAAATCTTCTCTTTCCCTAGGAAAATCTCTCTCCAAGTTTGAGTAAGTTTTGCCTGTTAATTCCCTTCCTCCTAGGGTTGTGGGTTTTATTAAACAATGCGCTTATCTCAGTGAAATGAGAACAACCTGAACAGCAACATCCACGCTGTAATTCGTGCAGTTAATGACAACCAGGTCTGTATTGCCACCTGGTCAGCGTGAGTTTGTAAGATGCATCCTCAATTCACAGATGTTAAACTGTGGGAAAAAACGTGGTTTAGCATCTGTGAAATACAGAACGTCATGGTGGCTGGGTCAATGTATAGTGGCTTTTCTTTAATTCCAAGGTTGGGATGTGGGAAAAAAACTTGCCTTAAAAGAAATCCATACTTTTTGGTACGTTAAATCTAAGGGAGGTTATAAATCGAATGGTTGCAAGAGCCCGAGTTTAAAGTGAGAGAAAGATGTAGCAGGGGAAGAAAGAGCTGAGAAATACGGAAAGAATGGAAACAATGGGTGTAAAAGCAACGGGCAAGTTTTTTTTTAAAGGGACAAAATCACAAGCTTATTAAAAAAGGCAATGACAATTACAGCTACAGCTAAAGAGCAAAGTAGCTCATTTTAAGATTATTTTTACATTAGATAGAAGCTTTGCAGCAGGGCTCCTCTCCATTTTAGATAGTAAAATTGGTTTAGGTATTTCAGAAGCTCTTATTGCAGATTATAATTTCATATTCAGCAGTGTGATTCATTTAGGTTAGTAACCTCCGTTACACTTAAACTGTTTTTCCTCACGACTATATTCGTAGTGGATAGCGCAGTGAATATAATTTCATGAGTCAATGTTGTTTGTTACTATTTGTAACCCTTTAATGTGCAGGGTAGATCTTTGAATATCTAACTTCCTTAAGCCTTAGTTTTTTCAGTAGTCAAAGGGGGGCTAATTCAGGATTATTCAGAGTTACTCTGAAATGAAATGCAAGAATGTATATAAACCTTAAACAGTGCCTAGCACAGAGCAACGCTCATTGAACAGCAGCTTTTGTGAGATGCACCTCATTCTGAAATAAGCGTGGAAACAGCACAAACGACTAGCTCTCTTAGCCCCGTTTTTTTCCTACATTCGTATGTTGCTTTGAATTGGCAAGCAGTTTTTATTTGGACCCTCAAACGCTAAAACCTTGGTCTCTTAACTGTGCTATGAGTCTAATCCTTTTCTTTGGATCGTGATGGATTTCCCGAGCTTCGGAGTGGGGCCCTGACCAGGGAGGAAGTGTCCGCTTTAAGAGCTCCTGGAGGGGAGGAAGGGGCTCCTCCGCCGGGGTGGGAGAGTGAGGGGGTGGGAGAGTGAGGGGGTGGGCGGGCAGGGGGCGGACCCGCCGCTCCTGCGTCAGAAGGGGTCCGGTTTTCGCACCTTCCCTGACGTCAAACCTCCATCAGGGTTGCAACGCCACGTTGCCTTGGATGCCTGCGTGAGTCCAGTCGCGAGTCGGGGCGAGCGTCCTGCGAGACGCGCTCCCGCCCTGCTTCTCCCTCCCGGCCGCAGGCGCCTATTTTTGGCTCCGCGGGCAGCGGGGCCGCGGCGCTCGGACGGCCTGGGGTTCGGGCGCCGCCACGGAACCGGAATCGGCACGGAGAGCGCCCGGCGCGGTCCTCGGTCTCCACCGCGGCCCGGAAGGAATCCGGGCGGCCTCCGCGGAGGTGAGTGCCGCGGCGGAGGCGGGGCGCGGCCCGGGCGACGCCCGCGGGCGGGGCCTGCTCGCCGGGCGCCCGGGGCGCCTTCTTTCTCCCGGGGGACACCAGGACGGCTCGCCGGGCTCCCGCGGCCGCTTCGCAGGTCCTCGGCTTCCCCTCATCCCGCGTCCGTTTCTGCCCCTGCTGCGTGAGAGGGTTCGGCGGCTCCGGGCCGGGATCGAGGTGGCGGGTCGAGGGGAGGAGGTGGGGCGCGGGCTGCATTGCGCTTCGGTCGGGGCGGTGGGTCCGAGGGGTCGGCGGACGAGGCCTCGGGCCCGGGCCTGGGGAGGGGGAAGCCTGCGGGGTCGGATTGGGGGCTGGGAACCCGCGGAGTCTTGCCTGGGCACCTGTGGGGCCGAGATCCCGAGCCACCTGTCCACACACCCCCTTCCCCCAGTGCCCTGCGTTGGGTCCAGCTGGCCCCAGACTTAGGCCTTTCCCAGCCCCTGGCGATGCTAGTTTATTTGGAAACGTGTGATTTTTGTGTTAATGATCGTTTTACTACTGCCGTGCAACAGTTGTGTAAATCTGGTCTTGTTACGCCATCGTTTTTACTTGCTCCTAAGAAGGCCGTTTCCAGCTCCTGGGATGATCCCACGCTTTGATTCTGGGTAGCTCGTGGAAGAGATGCATAGCAAGATACTGGTTCTCAGGGGACCAAAACGCAACCCCCCACCCGCCAACGTAAAGGAAATAGCTAGTTTTTGTTTTTCTTTTTTACAGCAATTTGCTCTGTGTAGGGAGGGGGAGGGACGGCGGAGACAGCCTGTGGCGATTTCATCCTGGAGAGAATCCGCTCACAGTTTGGCGGGTATCTTTCCCTTCTCTTTAATTAATACACAAACATATATACGTGTGTCACATACGGGGCGTTTATTTGTCTGCTTTTTTCATTTAATGCATGGAAGATCTTTTCTATATCGTTTGAACCCAAAGCGTAGAAGGCCAGAAAGCAACTCGTTAGAGAGTTGATCAAGTATTACTGCAGTGGCCAGTGATTTGGATAGAGATAAGCTGAATTCAGAAACCAGTAACAACTGGTTTCTAGAAAATATTGTTTAGAAAATATGTCATAATAATTGCAGGCAGTGTTTCTTCAAACTGCATTTTTTCAGCCCGTTCGTGAATTGTGAAATTAATTTAGTGGGTCGTGACTAGCATTAAAGATTAAAAAAATTAAATAAGATCACATAGAAAATATCAGAATGCATTACATGTAATGAGAGTTTTGTTTTGTGAAAAATGTTTTAACTGTGCGTGTGTACCTGTGTGCGTGTGCTCGGTTGTAATTCAAAATGTATTGGTTGCTGTGTGTCGTGTTAAATAATCTTGGAAGTCACTAACCCAAGGTATTGCTAGCACTCAGATGAGCAATGATGCAGTTAAACATTAGTTTTTAAAATTTGGAATAGTGATGTTGTTGATTGCAGCAAATAAGAGTCCTAATTATTTGTTTTCGCGTAGCATTAAAACAAACAGTATTCCTAAAAATACAGAGAAGTGGTGTCTAAGTCGTTAAGAGATTATAGCATAAATTGCTCAAATTGACCAATGGTCACAACTCAGTTAATGCTGGTTATTGGTGTGAGACCTGCTCAGAGGTCTCTTTTCTCTTAACCTTAGTTCCCTGATTTGCTAAATGAGAATTAATCATGGCAGCTACCTTATAAAGCTGTTTGTTATTTAGATGAGATAATGCACAGGAAGCTGTTGACAGAGCGCCTGGCTCAGATTAAGTACTAAGTATTAGCTGTTATTATTTTACTAAGACTGAATAGAGATGTCTAGGATAATGCTTGTCACCAGAGGAAAGCCAGCATAGCGTGGATAATTGAAAAAAGTGGAAAATTGAAAATCAGTAGTGTTGTGTGGAGGAACTGACACTGAATTGGTGTGGTCTTTTTTGTCATTCGGCCATTGTTTTGTCATTGCTTCTCAGTTGTTTCCCTGCTGCTGGACAGAAATTTAGACTGCCTTATTCAGAAAACCAAATGCCTTTCTATTGTCTTTCCTTATTTTTTAAAAAATTAAGTTGATGTGTCTTTTGTCAGGCACTTGAAAAATCTGTTTTATGAGGATTGTGGGTTTTGTTAGTTGTTACTACAGTGCCACACTCAGTTTGAGAAATACACGACAACCCCAGAGTCATTTCAGAAATATTTTTTTACCGATGTTTACCTCTGCGGCTGGTGCAGATCTCAGGTGTGCAAGAAATATTTCTTAAAAAACAACAACAACAACAAAATGCTGTTTTATTTTTCTTTTGAGACATTTCTGCTATGACATTTCAGTTACATTCCTCATTTCTGTGGAACTCATCTGGGTAGCTCAGAAATCTCTGTTCACTCCCCGGGATAGGTTTATGCAATTTTAAATGTCACCTAAACGAATGGAATAAGAAGGTGAACATAGTCATTTTAAAAATAGTATTATTATTTTTGGGAGAAATAAATATGCTTCGGATTCATAAAAAGGCTATGTTTGCAAATGTACTTAAGTGGGTATGACAACTGTGAAAGATTGGGGAAAATGTTTAACATTGATCATAATTCTGCTCTTAGATTTGAAACTGCCTTCAGATTTTTGTTCTGCTTTAGAGGAACACAAATGGAAACTCAGGGGTGAATTACAATGCAGTTTATGGAAAGACATGTCTTGAGACGTTAGCTAACCTGTCCCCCAATAAAAGCAACAACACCCATACTAAAAATACCAATGAAACAAAAAAGCCCAACTTGACCTTAAACATATATACATTTATATGTTTTAAGTTAAATATTAAGATTATGTGTGTATTTAAATTATCTCACTGGTTGACTTTCAGAAGTTAACTCACGAACTACCGGTTCTTGTCAGGGCTTTTATCTTACACTGACACGATGAAATACTATGCAATCATTAAACATTCTATTTTAGTTTATTTTCTTCTATTTTATAATAACATTTTATAATGGCATATAAAGGTGCTCATTATATGTGGTTCAGTGAGAGATGGTGGCTATAGACTAGAGTGTACTATACCATCCCATTTTTGTAAAAATATGTTTAGGATAAAGAAGAATATAACACAGGTTAATGGTGGGTGGTAGTATTATGGCTGATTTTTATGCTCTTTATGATTGTACTATTATAAATGTTTGACTTTTGTAGTAAAAACTAATAAAATAATTTTTTAAAGAAAAATGTGTGTTTTCTTATTTTGTAAACATATATGACTGTGCTTTAAGGGATACTGACTCTTAGCTTGGAGATTTTAGGCATTAACTAATTCTCCAGTATTTTCGGAAATGGTGCAGAGTAGTTAATAGTTACGTTCCTTACCCTTTGAGAAGCTCCTTTGAGTAGAAGAGAATCATTGTTCCAGAATTTTCTTAAACCGCTCTAGAGTATACCTCTTTACAAAAAAACTTCCACAGTACCTAAAGGCACAGTCTAAATTCTTCAGTTTGCTTTTGAAAACTAACAGGTCAAAATCCAGTCCACTTTCCGTGGTTTATTGCCCCATGAATATGTAAAAGTATTTATTAATAAAAAATAAAATACTGAAAAAAAATTCTCAAATGCAACCTTAGATTTGCTGATTTGTTAATTTTCTTGCATTTGTATCTTGGCTAGTTTGTTAATTGGACTATCATTTCCCAGCCTTTGAGTGAGTAAATCCTACCCATTTTTCAGTATCTGGTTAAAAAACCATACCCACAGTGGCATCCCTGGCCACTCTAGCTAAAACTGAGTTTTGCAGTTGAACTCATTAGCAATTCTCATTTTTGCTGAGGCATTTCTTAGGCATCACCTCATTCTTGATCTCTAATTTCCCAATTTCATTTTAAATTTTTTGAGGGCAAGAAAACTTGTCTCGTCTTTGTCTCTATTCCTTAAAGTTTCTAGCATGGAACTCTGCACAGGGTGGGTGCTTTCTAGTTATTATTTGATTATACCGTGGTATCACTGGCTCTTTAGAATCCAAGTGTTGGAAATTTTTCTTAACCAGTGATCCTGGATAAGGAGCAGCGCTTTGCCCGCAACAATACGGAGGAATAAAAAACATGCTTCTGCTTAATAGTGTATTGATATAGATAGTTGATAAAAGACTTGACAGTATTTTTCATTAAAACTAACGTGATACCTGAGCCTCAGGAAGTTTCTCATGCAGCTAATTTTGTTTGCGTTTGACAGCATTTTTGTTCTTAACCTTACCAGAAGCACAATTGCGTCTTATATTCTTTTACAGCTACTGTTCCAGGAACCCAGAGACCTGCAGTGTTTGATGGTGGATTAGATGGGCCATCACAGTCACTGCACCAGAACTTTAGGAGGTCATGTCTGAGGTTCAGTGAGTCATAGTATGTAAAGTACTTTGTGTTCAAAAGTTAATATTTTTTCTTATGTTATTGGAAACATGTCCGTTTTCAAAATATATCCAGGTATACTTATTTGGTCTGTGGTAGACACTTATGGGACCTAACTCTTTTAAAAAATGATTTTATTTTAATTTACAGATATTTGCCAGAATTAATACAGCTGATGAAATACTTGATCTTTTCTGCTTCAGGTAAATAATTTGTTACTTTGTAAAAATATCAGGTTCTAGTAGAATTCAGAGTTTGTATAAAAAGACCTATTTAGGCATCCAAGGTAATATAATCCCAGACCCTGAAAAAGTGATCTCTTTAATAGGTAAGTTTATTACTTCATAAAAAATGATGACTTATGTTATTGAGTTGACTTATAGCAGAATCACCTTGAGCATTTTATTTTATTCTATTTTATTTTATTATTATTACCATTTTTTGAGACAATGCCTCACTCTTTTCCCAGGCTAGAGTACAGTGGCTTGATCTCGGCACACTGTGGCCTCCACCTCCTGGGTTCAAATGATTCTCTTGCCTCAGCCTCCCAAGTAGCTGGGACTATAGGCATCTGCTATCACACCCAGCTAATTTTTGTATTTTTAGTAGAGACAGGATTTCACCGTGTTGGCCAGGCTGGTCTCAAACTCCTGACCTCAGGTGATCCGCTTGCCTCAGCCTCCCAAAGTGCTGGGATTACAGGCATGAGCCACCGTGCCTTGCCCCCTTGAGCATTTTAAATTTGCTTCATAATGTATGTCCTGGGTTCCCCCAACCCCTGGGATTTTGATTTGGTAAGTTTCCAATGAGGTCCTGGCATGTTAATTTTTAAAAATGCCAACACATGCTTCTGGTTCATTGCAACTCACTGTAGCACTAGAGATGACAGATGACGGGAATGACAGGCAATAATGCCACAGGAGTTAAGGGCCATAGGATTAAAGATTTAAAAATATTTAAGTATTTAAATTTTGTGTGTATGTGATATTGGACTGATGCTTTACTTTTGTCCTTTAGTCAATGAATGTTTTAATCGTATTTTCAGTAAATTCCCCCAAAGTTTGTTATTTTAGGATTTTTCAAAGTTTAGATTTAAGCTCTAGGTTCTCTTAGCTTGAAGTTTGCCTTATGTGTAAGTACAACTTAAAAAACTTTGTTTTGTTTTATTGCTGTAGGTTAATAAGTGAAGTAAATTAGTGGAAAAAATACTAAATTTTAAGTAAGTAATGTCTTATATATTTTTTGTGTCAGAGGCTGGCTTAATTGATTAATTTTCTCCATAAATGTGAGAAGTCGGAAAATCAGTATTTCTCATAATAAAAAGTAATAGGTAAGTAAATGTTATGCTAGCATTTTGACTTAATGAAGCCTTTTTTTCCGTCATCTTACTGGTTTTAAGGCTGTGATTTTATGTTTCAGTTATTGATTTTAATGATTAAATTTTTCCCATTGGAGAAATACTCATAACACAATATAGAATGATTGCTATATATCTTCCAGCAGCTGAGAATGCTTAAACTATTTGAAATGCAAAATTATTTGCAATTCTATTTTCAGCTTAACAAAGCAGCAAATAAACTGCATTAAATTTTTTACTTAAAATCTTCATAAATTATATGTACATTGTGTCAGTTAATACATGGCTGAGCATGAAAATTACCGGGGGAATTTTGAAAATTCTGAATTCTAGGCTCACCTCAGCTCTACTAAAATTTTGGGTGTTCAGCCTGGTTTGGGAACCATGCAGTCTATAATGTTGAAGGATTATACTTTTAGGTGAGTGGAAACTGGAAAACTATTTATTTGTAGAGAAATCTCAAACACTGGTAGGAAAAAAATCCTTCATATTTATCTAGCATATATAATTGGCAGAAGAAAAATGTGTTTCAGAGGCTAAATTAGTTGTTCCGATTTTTAGCAACTGTGTTGCATAAATTATTAAAAAATCTGCTTCTTTGTGAGCTGAGCAGAAAATGCCATGTGGTGTCTTTACTCTCATGGTGACAGAGAATGAGACGTCGTTAGATAATCTGGGATTTTATGTGGAAACATGATGGGGAAATTAATGAGCTGCATTAGAGTATAGTAAATATACCATAACAATATCTTAGAAGTAATTGATCTTCGCAAATTGATTATTGTAGTCTTTGTTACTGAATCAATATCTAATATCTCTAATAAGTGATTAGAAAAACTAATCTAAAAAACTAAATATTTAGTCATCTAGTCTTCAAATATTGGCAACGAACTGTTCTTTCATAAGATGTGTAGTTCTTGTTTCTGCTTCAGGCTCACTTATTTATTCAACGTCTCATGGCAGCCTTGTGTATTTTCCTAATTATTAGACGTAGGAGCGGATAGGACCCAAGAGTGAATTTCTGTTTTCTGTTAATTATCATAGCCATTTTCCTCATAAGAGTAAGGAATTATCATGATTTTGAACATTTTTCTTTTTTTCAGTTTGAGTATTAGAAGACAGTAGCCATCTGACTTCAGTTATTTATTCAAGATGCAGAAAAGACAAGGATATTGCAGTTATTGCCGTGTGCCATATAATAACCTGGAACAGGTGAGAGGTTTCTATTAATATGATAATATCTCAGAGGACCTAGTTGTGACTTTCTCTGACATTTTATTAAATTTGTTTATTCATTGAACAGATCATATTGGGAATCTGTTAGCTGGCAGATACTGTGTAAAGTTCTAGGGATATGACCATGAACAAAACAAGCCTCTTTTCTCTTGAAGCTTATATTCTAGTGTAGTAAGAGAGAAGATAAATAATATGTAAATTTAGTACATAATATATGAGATTATGATCAATGTTATGAGGAAAACAAAATAGGGAAGGGGTAGGGTAGCCAGGTAAGGCCTTTTTAAGGAAGTGACATTGAGTGGAGATTTGGAGTTCACGTTTCAGGTTTGCATTTATCTGGGGAAAGAGTTTCTAGGTAGAAGGAGGAGACACAGACCCTGAGGTTGCTGAGTGGTTGGCACACTAACGAACAGCCAGGAGGCTGGTGGCTGCATGGATATTGGAAGGTAGGTGATAAGTAATAGGCAAAGAATTCTGTATTTTAGATTCAGGGGGTATATAGGCTTGTTGGTTACATGAGTATATTGCAGACTGGTCGGTATTAGGCTTCTAGTGTATCCATTACCCAAATCAGAGAAGTCGATTCTTTAAGACATTGTAGGCTTAGGTAAGGACTTTGAATTTTATTTCAAGTGAGGTGGGAGAGCATTTCAAAATTCTGACCATAGGGGTGAAATCATCTACTTTGTGTGTTTAAAGGTTCATTCTGGCTGCTGAGGGAAACACAGTTGGTATAGAGATTTAAAAATTCTGTTATTGTGATATAACTCATCCACCATAAATTTGACCCTTTAAAGTGTGTAATTCAGTGATGTTTTAGTATGTTCACAAAGTGGTATAACTGCTGTCTAATTCCAGAACATTTTCATCACCCTAAAAGGAAACTTTGCACCCATTGAGCAGTAACTCACTCCTCCCTTCTGTCACCAGCTCCTGGCAACCACTAATCTATTCCTATCTGTATAGATTTGCTTATTCTGAATATTATGTGTAAATAGAATCAAACATTGTGTGACCTTTTGTGTCAGGCTGCTTTAATTTAGTGTAATATTGTCACTGTTCATCCATGCTGTAACATGCATTACTACCTCATTCCTTTTTATGACTGACAATGTTCTGTTATATGGATATATCACATTTTGTTTCTTCATTGAGCAATTTATGCATATTTGGATTGTTTTCACTTTTTGACTTATGAATAGTGCTGCTATGAACAGATGTGTACAAGTTTTTTTGTATGGACATATGCTTTCACTTTTCTTAGGTTTACATGTAGAGTGGAATTTTTGGGTCATGTGGTAACTGTGTTTAAATTTTTTGAGAGGGTGCCTCACCGTTTGTTAAAGTGGCTATACCTTGCCACCAGCAATGTATTGAGTTCCAGTTTCTCCGCATTCTTGCCAGCACTTGTTGTTGTCTGTTTTTTTTTTTTTTTTTTTTTTTTACTTTTTTTTTGTTATTGTTGTAGCCATTTTAGTGGGTGTGAAATGGTATCTCATTTTGGTTTTGATTTGCATTTTGTTAATGACATATAATGTCTTTTCATGTGTTCATTGGCCATTTGTATGTCTTCTTTAGAGGAATGCCTATTCAAATCCTTTTCCTATTTTCAATTGTGTTGTCTTTTTACTGTTGAGCTATAGAAGTCTTTATATATTTTGGATACTTGACCTTTATCAGACATATGATTTACAAATACTTTCTCTGTTTTGTGGATTGTCTTAGTACTTACTCTTTTTTTTTTTTTTTTGAGACAAGGTCTTGCATTGTTGCTCAGGCTGGAGGGCAGTGGTGCAATCATGGCACACTGTAGCCTTGGCCTTCTGGGCTCAAGCAGTTCTCCTGCCTCAGCCTTCCAAGTAGCTGGGATTACTGGGATGCACCACTATACCCAGCTAATATTTTATTTATTTCTCACGATGTTTCCCGGGTTGGTCTCAAACTCCTGGGCCCAAGCAATTCTCCTGTGCTTTGGACTCTGAAAGTTTTGGAATTACAGGTGTGAGCCACCACACCTGGCCTTCTTTTTACTTTCGTGATGGTATGTTTTGATGCACAAAATTTTTAAATTTTGCTATGTTTTGCTTATGGTTTTTGGTGTCAAAAGGGGTGCCTAATCTCAGGGTCAAAGATTGATGCCTATGTTTTCTTCTACGAGTTTTATAGTTACTCCTACATTTAGGCCTTTTATCTGTTTTGAGTTCATTTTTGTATAGGGTCTGAGATAGGGGTACACTTTTATTTTTTTGAGTCGGTAAAATTAAGTATTTCATAGAAATCCTGTTAAAATTTATGCCCATCAGAGCTCTCCCTATGCTACCCATATTGGATTTATATATGTATGTATTTATATTGATTTGTTTACTTTTATTTATTTTTTTACTGTGATTAAACATTTATGGGGTACAGTGTGATATTTTAATACATGTATATAATACATAATAACCAAATTGGTGATTTGCATACTCATCACCTCAAACATTTATCATTTCTTTGGGTTGGAAACATTTAAAATCCTCTCTTCTAACTGTTTGGAAATTTACAATCAATTATTGTTAACTATAGTCATCCTACAGTGCTATCCAGGACACTAGAATATATTCCTCCTATCTGGCTTTAATTTTGCATTCATTAATTATCCTTTCCCAATTTCTCTCCCCTGACTTCTTACCAGCTTCTAGTAATTATTATTCTATTCTCTACTTTTATGAGGACAACTTTGATGAAAGGATTTTCTTTTTTATGGCTGAATAGTATTCCACTGTGTATATATACTACACTTCCTTTTTTGTGTGTGTGACATAGAATCTTGCCCTGTTGCCCAGGCTGGAGTGCAGTGGCATGATCTTGGCTCACTGCAACCTTTGCCTCTTGCATTCAAGCGATTATCCTGCCTTAGCTTCCCGAGTAGCTAGGATTACAGGAGTGCACCAACACACTTGGCTGATTTTTGTATTTTTAGTAGAGATGGGATTTCACCATGTTGACCAGGCTGGTCTTGAACTCCTGACCTCAGGTGATCCACTGCCTTGGCCTCCCAAGGTGTTGGGATTACAGGCGTGAGCCACTACACCCGGCCCTTTTTTTCTTTGTCTGTTGATGGACGCTTAGATTGATTCCATGTCTTAGCTATTATAACAGTGCTGTAATAATAAACATGAGGGTGCAGATATCTCTTTATTGATTTCCTTTCCTTTGGATAAATACCTAGTTAGTGGCATTGCTGGATCACATGGTAGTTACATTTTTAGTTATTTGAGAACTTTTATACTCTCTTTTCCATAATGACTATAATGATTTGTATTCCCACCAATGATGTGTAAAAATTCCCTTCTCTGTATCCTTGCCAGCATGTCATTTTTTGTCTTTTTGATAATAGCTATTCTAATTGAAGTGAGATGATATCTCACTGTGGTTTGATTTACACTTTCTTGATGATTAGTGATGTTGAGCGTTTTTTAATATACCTGTTGGCCATTTATATGACTTTTTGAGAGAGATCTTTTCAGCTCATTTGCCCATTTTTAAATTGGATTTTTCCTTTTGTTGTCACTGAGTTGTTTGAGTATCCCATATTCCAGATATTAATCATTGTTTGGATGAATGGTTTACAAATATTTTCTCCCATTCTTTTTTTTTCTTTTTTTGAGACGGAGTTTCACTCTTGTTACCCAGGCTGGAGTGCAATGGCGCAATCTCGGCTCACCGCAACCTCTGCGTCCTGGGTTCAGGCAATTCTCCTGCCTCAGCCTCCTGAGTAGCTGGGATTACAGGCATGCGCCACCATGCCCAGCTGATTTTTTGTATTTTTAGTAGAGATGGGGTTTCACCATGTTGACCAGGATGGTCTCGATCTCTTGACCTCGTGATCCACCTGCCTCAGCCTCCCAAAGTACTGGGATTACAGGCGTGAGCCACCGCGCCCGGCCTCTCCCATTCTTTAGGTTGTCTGTTCACTCTGTTAATTGTCCTTTGCTGTGCAGAAGCTTATGAGTTTCATATTATCCAGTTTGTCTATTTTTGCTTTGTCCCCTGTGCTTTCGAGGTCTTTTCCGCAGGATCTTTGCCTAGCCCACTGTCCCAAAGCATTTCCCCTGTGTTTTCTTCTGGTAGTTTCATAGTTTGGGGCTTACATATATGTCTTTAATACATTTTGAGTTGATTTTTGTGTATGGTGAAAGATAGGGGCCTAGTTCCACTTTTCTGCATATAGATACCCAGTTTTCTTGGCTTCATTTATTGAAGAAGCTGTCCCTTCCCCAATTTATGGTACTGGTGCCTTTGTTTCATATCTGTACATTTTCAGAATTTCGTCTTATTATTGATTTTTTGTTTTATGCCATTATAGTCAGAAAAGATACTTGATATAATTTCACTTCTTTTAAATTTGTTGAGACCTCTTTGTGGCCTAATATGTGGCCTATCCTGGAGAATGTTACATGTGCTGATGAAACAAATGTGTATTCTGTAGCTGTTGAATGAAATCTGTAAATATCTGGTAGGCCCATTTGATCTAAAATGCAGTTTAAATCCAATATTTCTTTGTTGATTTTCTGTCTAGAAGGTCTGTCCAATTCTGAGAGAGTGATAATCAAATCCTCAACCAGTCCAATAGTATTTGCTTTATTTATCTACGTGCTCTGGTGTTGAATATATATATATTTATAGTTGTTTTATCTTCTTGCTGAGTTGATCTCTTTATCATTATATGATGACCTTTGTCTCTTTTCACAGATTTTGACTTAAAGTTTGTTTTATCTATTATAAATAGAGCTACTCCTGCACACTTTTGGTTTCTGGTGTATGGACTATCTTTTTCCATCCCTTGGCTTTCAGTCTATATGCGTCTTGAAAAACAAACAAACAAACAAAAACAGATGGAGTCTCACCATGTTGTTCATGCTGGCCTTGAATTCTGTGCTCAGGAGATCCCCCTGCCTTAGCCTTCTTAGTAGCAGGGACTACAGTTGCAT